TTTCAGGAAAATCTCCATATCCCTGCCCAAATCTCCATATCTCCGCCCATTGTAAACTCGCCAGAACTATATCCAGACCACAAGGCCTATAAATACCCGAGTCTGTAAGATAACAGACTGGCTCTTGGTCTCCTTTGGTCACTTAAGAGTACCCCCTCCCAGGTTTACTCTCAATAAACCTGCCTGCTATTGAAGCCAAGACTCTCTCCTTCTTTATCTTTCTTTTCCTTACATCTTTGCTTTTCAATACTTCAAAAAGTTCCTGTGCAGCAGATTTGCCTAATGCAATACGTTCTGATCTGTTGACTGCTGCTTCCGTGAGTGTTGATAGTTGATCCAAGAAGAATGAAGTCCTTGACAACGTCAAACTTTTTCTCCGTTCATCAGAATGTTGTTCATTGATCCAGTGGTGAGGATTTTTGTTTTCTTGTCCTTGACAACGTCAAACTTTTTCTCCGTTCATCAGAATGTTGTTCATTGATGAGGATTTTTGTTTTCTTGTCCTTGACAACGTCAAACTTTTTCTCCGTTCATCAGAATGTTGTTCATTGATCCAGTGGTGAGGATTTTTGTTTTCTTGACATTGAGATGTAACCCGTATTGAAGGCTGTGCTCTTTGATCTTCATCAGTAAATGTTTTGAGTCCTCTTCACTTTGAGCAAGCAAGGTTGTATCTTCTGCATACAATTAAAGAATTAGTTATCGTTTAATTGTTGGTTTTGCTGTTAAGTCAGTTTTGACTCTTAGAAATCCTGTATAGCGTTTCTGAGGTGGTGCTGTAGGATAAAGCACTAGACAGCTAAGTCCATTTGCAACACAAAGTCTGTGCTTCAAACCCACCAGCAATTCCTCTGAAACCCTGTGCTCTAAGAGTCAGAAAGGACTTTAAGGCACTTAATAAAAACAACAATTGCATTTCTGTAGAGGCCATGCTGAGTTTGAACTGAAGGCCTTGTAGTTAGTTGTTGTTGTTGTTAAGTGCCATTGAGTCAGTTCTGACCCATAGCAATCCTGAGTAGGGTTTCTGAGGAGCTGCTGGTGAGCTTGAACCGCTAACCTTGCAGTTCAAACGGCTATACAGTCTGATGCATTAACCCACAGCGCTACATCAGTAGTTAGTAGTCCTGTGTTTATACTACAGTGTCATACCAGCACAGTTAATTAATATTTAGTTATATAGTGCTGCCAAAACAAATACCACAAGTAGATGGCTTTAACAAACAGAAATTTCTCAGTTTGTTGTTGTTAAGGGCTGTTGAAATGGTTCCAACTCATAGCACTTCGGAGGACAGCTAGTCAGTTTGAACCGATGACCTTGTGGTTAGCAGGCAAGGGCATATCCAACAGCTCACAATTTAGAAGACTAAAAGTCTGAATTCAAGATAACAGCTCAGGGGAAGGCTTTCTCAGACTGTGTCACTGTGGGCTCTGAGGGAACATCCTTGTCATTACTCTAACTCTAGGTCTAGGAGTTTCTCAGCACAGGGACCCTGGAGCCAAAGGACATGATGCTTGATGTTGGACTCCTGGCGTCCAGAACTGTAAGTGAATTAATTTGTTGTTTTAAGTCACTAGTTATGGTCATTTGTTATGGAAGTACTAAAAAAAACTAAATATCAAATTAAAATAAACATTTTATATTAAACTGTTATTCTAATTGCATGTACTGATATTTTCCTATTTCTGTGCTAATCTCTTGGTATTTATTTTTATTTTTATTAGTGTTGCTTTTCAAGGCTTTCTTGACATCCTTATAAGATTTTAAGTTATTTTTCCAAGAGAGTTTTGAATTCTAATAGGAATTACATTAAGTTCATAATCTGATTTAGGAAGAATTAGCATATATTTTGGTATTGACTTCTGTGATGGTTCAGGATATTTGTCAACTTGACTGGGCCATGATTTTCAGTGGTTTGACTGTTTTAATGGAGTTTGGTATTTGTGTAATGATGTAGGCATCCCAAATTTGACCTGATATAACATAATTGCCTCAATGATGAGATCTGCTATGAGCTGTCAACGAACTGAAAGTCAGTTTCCTTGTGTATGTGTGAGGTGGGTGAGGGTTGGTGGGAAGGACTGAGGCCTGCATCCAACACATGTGAATGCTCGAGCAAAGCTTACTGTCTTTTTGTTCAGTCTAGGTCCTGCATCCAGCTTGCCATCATCTGACCTCTGGTTCTTGGGCCTTGTTTTTATTTTTAGGTGCCATCGAGTCAGTACTGACTCAAACTGACCTTATGTAAAGCAGAACGAAACACTGCCTGATCCTGGGCCAACCTCACTACTGTTGTCATGCGTGAGCCCGTCAATGTTGGCACTTGGCCAATCCATCTCGCTGGGGGTCGTCCTCTTTTCCTCTGACCGTCCACCTTACTAAACATGATATCCTTCTCCAGCGAATGGTCCCTCCACAGAATCACAGCAACTCACAAGTCACCACAGTATGCCAAACTGACAGACAAGTGGTGGTCTTGGGACTTGAGCCTGCCAATATTCGGTTCATCAGCTTCTCCAACTCTGAATCAGAAGCCTCTACCCTGATGTCTGACCCAAATACTTGGGACTTGCCAGTCTCTACAACCACATGAAATATTTCCTTGAGATAAATCTATATGGAGTCCTGGTACAGTGCTGTAGGTTAAGCACTGGACTGCAAGGTTTGAACCACAAAGTCTGAGATACAAATCCACCAGCTGCTCCTTGGAAATCCTATACGGTAGGGTTGCTATTAGTCAGAACTGACTTGATGACTCTTTAACAATATATATATGTGTAAGACATATAACCATCCAAAAATATGACATGTGTTTACCATCTACTCAGGTCTGGTTTCTGCCTTTCAACAGAAGTTTAGGGATTTCATCATAAAGATTTTGGATTTTGTTAAAATGTTGTTCTTGCTAAGTGCTGTCGAGTCCGTTTTGACTCAACACCACCCTGTGTAGGGTTTCAGAAGAGCGGCTGGTGAATTTGAACAGCCAACCTTGCAATTCAAACTAACTGACCTTGTGATTCAAACAGACCTTGTGGTCCAGTGCTTACCCTACTGTGGAAAAAAATCTTTTTTGTTATTTTATTTTAAAGGTTATTGTTATTCAAAGGAAAAAAAATCTCTACATTTTAAATTTGTCTAGCTATCTCGCAGTAAGCCTTTTACTGAATTCAATTTTAAAATCTAGGCACGTGGATTTTCAAGGTTTCCTACCCTCTGTAAATAATTTTGCCTCTTCAAATTGGGGGTCAAGGGTGATATAGTGTGTGCCTTTCCTTGCGTAAGGGCTTACATGTTATGGTTTTACCTAGGTACTCATTCCAGTTTTGCCACTTAGTAGCTGTGAACTCTGCGCAAATTATTTAATCTCACTGGATCTCAGAGTCCCCAACTCTGAAATGCGGATAATATTAGGACTCAACTCAGCATTGTTTTAAGAATTAAACACCAGCTAATTGAAATATTTTGATAATTAAACTATTGGAGTCCTGGTTTGGCGCTGTGGGTTAAGGCGCCAGACTGCAAAGCCGTTTGAACTGCAAGGTCGGCGGTTCAAACTCACCAGCTGCTCCTTGGAAAGCCTATACAGGGTCGCTATGGGTCGGAATCTACTCGACAGCACTCAACAACAATTAAAGTATTTAGTAGAGTGCCTGGCAGACTCATCGATTAAGTCCTGCATTATCTGTTAGCATTCGTTTATCAAAACCCGCTGAATACATCATCTCCGGTAAATCTTACAATCACTTTAAAAAATAATCTACATTTTACAAACGAGAAGACGAGCAATTGATATGCCCAGGGTCACTCTGATACAATCTAGGGCTGTATAACAAAGCCAGCTCCTAGAAAATTAGGCAATCAATCCATTCATATTAAGGAGAATTTTAATTTACACCAAGGAATGATTTAAGTCTCAGCAAAACATGATTAATCAATTCTACATGAATTTGACCAGAAAACATAAATACACTAAAGCAGGAATGCGACTCGCTGATTATAGCATTTTAGGCTTTAGCATGGACACGCGGAAAAAGCCGAACGCGCTCGTAACTCTTCGCTTTGCCTTCGACAACAATCGTCAGGGGGTGGGGCTCGCGAGACGGCACGCTCACGCAAGGCATTGTGGGAAAGGTAGCCGGTGCGGCCATAGCTGCCATCTTAAGGAAGGCTCGTTGCGGCCTTCTAGTTCAAAGCGGCCTTCGTGGCGATTGTCGACCTAAGACAACGGTAAAAAGTCATCTGGCTGGTAGCTTTTCTTCCTCTGGTTCCGACCGAGCGGTCATTCCACGTTCGAAGGCTGAGGTGAGGGCACCCGGGAGCGTTACAAGGCAGAACCAGCGGTTGGTCACAGCTTCCCCAGGAAGGATGGGCCGGTCTCGGAGCCGGAGTTCGTCCCGCTCCAAACACACCAAGAGCAGCAAACACAACAAAAAGCGTAGCCGGTCGCGGTCCCGGGACAAGGAACGTGTACGGAAACGTTCCAAATCCCGGGAAAGTAAACGGAACCGGCGGCGGGAGTCACGGTCCCGCTCGCGCTCCACCAACACGGCTGTGTCTCGGCGCGAGCGGGACCGGGAGCGCGCCTCGTCCCCGCCCGACCGCATCGACATCTTCGGGCGCACGGTGAGCAAGCGGAGCAGTCTGGACGAGAAGCAGAAACGAGAGGAGGAGGAGAAGAAAGCCGAATTCGAGCGACAGCGAAAAATGTGAGCGCTCGCGCGGCCTTCGGGATTAGGGTGCGGGGATCCTGGGGCTGCAGGGACCGAGGGTGCCGGGGAGGCGCGGCGTGGGGCGCGAGCAGGAAAGGCTCACCCGGAGAAAGCGATTTTGGCGCGCGAGGCGGCGGGAGCAGGAAGTAGTAGGGGGTGGAGTTGAGAGGGAGGTCGGAAGACGGACGGACTGACTGCGTTTGCAGCTCGGATTGACAATCCTGTACCGGAATTGGCCGGGGGCGGTCCCAGGTGGCCAGCAGCGCTCTCACGGAGAACTTTACATATGGGGCTGGTTTAGGGACTTTCGGGAATGAAACGCTTTCCGTGACCCCACAGTACACGCACACACACAGCAAAACACTTGCTGGCGGCCCTTCTCGGGTTTATCCATCCTTTTTTTTCCGTCCCTCCCTCCCCCAAGGTTAGTGCACCGGCCATAAGTGCACAGTGGGATGCGTTTTGACACTGGTGGTCACCATCCTAACCACAGTGCCCTGACATAGTCCTTTTCGCTTCCGGATGCTTCAGATCCCTATGTCGCCGATGGGTATACTATCCTATTACTCTCTCCTCTAGTAGGTTTCTTCCAAGACACTTCAACATTTGCTTTGATCTTTCCGTTGCTCGTCTGTAGAATTTTTTTTTTTGGGGGGTAGGGAAAATTACGAGTTATAGTAAGATTTGGGCAAAAAGGAATCGGCTTACAAGCATCTGAAAACAAGAGTAGGTTTAGATGGTCCCCAAATAAACTTAAGATTTTAAAAGTGTGTCTTATACTTTTTAATCCTTTGGTGGCCCATGGAACAGACATAGTCCACCAACACTTTTAGTCTTTCAGGGTTCTTGGGAGGCTGCATTCCCAGTTGTAGTCAATTCTGCCTGGCTGGGTCCTGTAGAACCGAATCTGTAAAACTGGCCTGACCCCCCCAACCCCTATCTCCAGAGTGCACATGGAACGTACATGTCCCACAGAATTGTATCAAAATCCTTATTACCTCAAAGAAAACAAGTTTTCCACCTTTATTTCAATATGCCTTCCGTTAACTGTAAATGCATTATATGAAAAAACTCAAAGCAGAAAATGATTTGGCCATGAAAGGTTAAAACATGGTCCTTTGATGCTCTGGGTGGATATTCCTCTCTCAGAAGCCAGACTGGAAAAGTAGAGTTAGGCTTACATGCTAGCTCTCCCAATTTAACCAGCCATCTTTAGTTCTTCAGCGCATTTTAAGAAACTGCTCTTGAGGCTTGAAAGTAATTTTGGGATTTTCCTGGAACTAATTTAATGTGTATTGAATTTTCTGGGGGTTTAGAGCTTTCTGCAGTTGAATTTGTACTATATAGATTTTTTGTTTAACTTATTTCTATAAGAAAAGTTACTAAGGTAAAGGGTTTGCACGATACAGAGGAATCAGTACCTGGAGCAGTTTTGTTGCTGATGTTCATGATTTTAAAGCATATGCAACTTTCATGCTTGGAATTGTCAATTTGACCTATATGTCATTTTATTACACTTCACAGATAATGCATTTTTTATTTTTCACAAATTGAAGGTTTCTGGTAGCACTGACTGCGTCAAGCAAATCTATGCAATTTTCTGTCATATGTTGGTAATTCTCACAGTATTTCAGACTTTTTCATAATGTTGTTGCAAATGGAATAGACTTTTATATGTTTTTGAATCAGTTCTGACTCATAGGACCCTGTATAGAGTTTCTGAGGAGCTGCTGTGGGTTTGAACTGCCGAACTTGTAGCTAGCAGTCCAGTACTTATTCTATAGTGCCACTCCAGGACTCCAAAAAATGTTAGACTACCTTCATTGTGATATTTGCTTTATTGCTGTGGTCTGGCACCAAACTGCATTATCTGCAAGGCATGCCCAGTATAACTTGATTGAATGGTTCTTACAAGCCAGGATGCTGAGATTTCATCTCATACTAAGGACTTGTTATCAGGAGGTGTCATTCCTGGAGAAGGACATCATATTTAGTTATGCTAAGGGTCACTGAAAAAGTGGAAGGACCCCCAACCAGATGAACTGACACAGTGGCAGCAGCAAAGGGCTCAAACGTAACAAATGCGAGGATGGTGCAGGACGGGACAATGTTTCCTTCTATTGGGTGCAGGGTCGCTGTGAGTTTGAACTCATTCAACAGCACCTAAACACACAAAACCTTGATTATGGAATCCAGTTTTTTATTCTGGAACAAAGAATTCAACTGTAAAAATGTAGCTTTCAAATAACTACCAACAGAAAATTACCTGACAACTCTTTGAAATTTACCTGACAACTCTTACCATGAAGAAATAACAAGGGTCACCAACGGATTCTACCTTTCACTCTAAAGCGGTAGAAGAGGAAATTTAGCTTGTGAAGAACAGTTTAAAAGCATTCTGCAAACTATGTAGCATAGACATCAGGGATGAAATTATGGGAAATAGAATAGCATATGAGGGGCCTTAAAGTTTTGGGGGAAATGGAATTAAAAGAGAGTAGAATGTTCCCAGGAACAGTTTTCAGTTAAGAGAAGAAAAAGATTGCCATTGATACTTTGGTGGATTGGCAGTTTGGCCTAGTAGCCACTGTAAGCTGGTACTACTGATGCATGGAATGATAGGGGTGGGGACGCAAGGGAAAAGACACAGGCTTTGAAGCTATGGGACTTAAGGTCATTGCCATCTTGTTGATTCCTTCATTCAACCAATGTTGAACATTTAATAAGTGCAATGTAGGTGCTAGATGCTGTTACTATAAAGGTGTTTGGTTCCTTAAGATGATTGACTTTAAGACAGATAATTAGGTAATAAAGGAATACTGGTGTGACGCTGCGGGATGAGTGCTGAGCTGCATTCTTGAACTTGAGTCACAAGGTCATCGGTTCAAACCCACCATATGCTCCTCGGAAACACTGTATAGGGTCGCTGTGAGTCGGAATCAACTCGGGCACTTAACAACAACAGTAAAGCAATGTAGTTTCAGTGATTGTCCAACAGAGGTGTCCTAGATGGGCAAATAACTTAGTTGTCTTAAAGAATAAGTGGAGCATTATAAGAGTGTGACACTGTCAGGCTAGGCATAGGAGGACAATTTCATACTAATTGTCTCCTCTGACTCCACAAGAATAAAGGAAAGAAGAGGAAATGGTTATTAAATGGAGTAGCTAAGATTGGAATTCTCTTTGGGGTCTTGTGCTATGTTAAAATGCTTGGATTTCACCCTATGGTGATGTAAAAGCAAGGAAGGATTTTAAATAGAAATGGTATATCACCTTTTACTTTTAATAAAACAGCACTGCGCTGTTTTTGTTGTTATGTGCCATCGAATCAGTTCCAACTCATAGCGACCCTATACAGGGTTTACCAGGAGAGACTGGTGAGCTTGAACCGCCTGCCTTGTGGTTCAAACTGACTTTGCAGTCCAATGTATTAACCCATAGCGCTGCGTCAGTACTGTGTAGAGGGTGGAAACTAGGGAGGGGACGTGCAGCGTGCAGTATGTCTTTAAGTGTTTAAGGCAGGTGCTAGAATGGAAGGAGTACAGATTTTTAAAATGGTAACTAGAAGTTGAGATGTATGGGATGCTGAGGCAGTGAAAGCATTAATGTTGATATAGCTATAGCGTGACTATTACAGCTCGTACACCAACTACTTGCGTCAGGCACTAGTTCAAATGTTAGATAACTTGGTGAGTAGTGGATAAAGGAGAGGGATAAATCAAGGGGAGTTTCTACTTGGCACTTTGACTCTTGGCATTATTCATTGATGTTTATCTAGTGTTGATAATGGGGCATTGAAGCCAGTGGGAAAAGTCTTAACATGTCAGTGAAACCTTGAAAGTAGAAGGAGTGACCTTAGAAGAATGTGTAATGTCAAATGTAGTTTCAAGAAATCCGATGTTAGGTGGGGACAAGACGGTAAAATAATAAGAATTGTCTATTAGGTATAACCATTTAGGAAGTCTGGTAAAATCAGAAACCGATTGCTCTGCCACTTGATAATTCTGAAGTCTGAAATAAGTCACCTACCTCTGAGCTTATTTTCTTATCTATAAAATGGACATTATGGCTGTCTTTTTTTGTGAAGACTAGAAATTGTGTATTTAAAGCATCTAGAAGGTGCTTTGACGTAGTTGTTGTTGACTCATAGCGACCCTGTACAGGGTTTCCAAGGCTGTAAATCTTTTCGGGAGCAGAAAGCCTCATCTTTCTCCTGTGGAACAGCTGGTAGTTTTGAACTCCTGACCTTGCGATTTTCAGCCCGATTCGTAACCACTACGCTACCAGAGCTCCTTGTTTGACATAGTGGGTCTCATTAAATCATGTTATTTAATATACAGGCAGTCCACAGGTTACAAACTAGATTAGTTTCTACCTGTCTTTTAAGTCGAATTTGTAGGTAAGGCAGAGCAGGCCCTGTGGTTCTTGGTAGTCTTACTTTTTTTAGTTCACAGACACTTCAGTGATTTAAGAGCTGCATGTGCATCAGTTGAAGGTGATTGTGATGAATTTGTAGCAAGTTAAGGGGTTGGTTCAATAAAGTGAGGATATTTACCGTACATTAAAGCAGGGCTTCAAACATGGCAGCCAGTGCTGCTGTTTTGTATGTGTGTGGACCTTCCCAGTCCTGACTATTCAGTCTTAGGCATTAGACTCCTGAAAGTGTTCATACACCTCTTCCAAATCTACCAATCCAGGGCTTCAGCCCATAATTTTTCTGTTTTGGTTATCATGATTTATCACCCAAATTGTAAACATTCTTTATTGGCCATGACAGAAGCAGCTTGAAACACTTTTGTTAGATCAGGTTGGAGTTATACATAAAGTTGGACGTTTGTAACCCAGGGACTGCCTGTAATTTATGTACCTGTAGATAACACTAGACTTTGTGGTTTACGGAAGTACATCTATTGTTCTAAGTGCCTTTGAGTCGGTTCCAACTAATAGTGACTCTGTGTAGGGTTTCCGAGGAACAACTGGTGGGTTTGAACTGTCGA